AGACATCACCTCAGCTTACAAAATTGGGCCCTCTCTCTCTCTCTCTCTCTCTCTCCCCTACGCTTCTCTTTCGTCACCGCTTTCACAGTCGCTCTCATTCAACCCAACCTTAAAACCCAACAACAACAAAAACAGAGGAAGAAAGAAAATTGACTGTGAGATAGAGGCCCTAGGCCGAGAGATGGGGAAGTACATGAAGAAATCTAAAATCTCAGGTGACGTCGCCGTGATGGAGGTTTCCGTTTCACCGCAGTCCTCTCTCGGCGTTCGAACCAGAGCCAAAACCCTAGCCCTCCAAAAACTCCAGCAACAACAGAAGCAAGAGAACCAAAACCAATCGCCCTCTGTGGAACCTGACCCAGATACCTCCTCCTTGTATTATCTCCAGCTCAGGAGTCGCCGTCTCGAGAAACCCCCATTGCGAAACGACGTCGCCAAGAAGCAGAGCCAGAGCGAAGCTGAGCCCTTGGAGAAGCCCAGAGGGTGTTGTGGAGAAAGCCGAAGAAGGGCCATGGATTCGAGGCCCAATTCGAGGTTGAGTGTGGGCTCGTCGTTGGACTCTGGCTGGGCTGAGTCCGTTGAGAGAAAGGAGAAGGACGGGGAAGGGTGTTTTGGTAATTTTGGAAATGAAGCCGAGTATGGTAGCGATTTGGGCGTTGAGGCGTCATTTGGGGAAAACAACTTGGAGTATGAAGCCAGAGACAGGTAAATTTGCTTCTTTGTGTGTTATTTCAAGTGGGTTGAAATGAGGTTTGTTTTTTCATTTTTGAAGAATGGCTCTGTTGTTTTCACTGTCTCCTTTTGCCTATTGTTTATGAAATATGATTTTCTGCAATTGTTAGTGATGGTGGGGTTAACTGTGTCAGCATTTCTTGAAATTGAAAAGAAAAGTTTGTGTCAATATAATATTTTTTGGTTACTTTTTGTGTTTACTTTTATAATAAATTTCAAGAAAAAAAACACGGAAGAAAAGATATGGGCTTCTTTTCATACATGAAAAAGTGAATTTCCCTTGATCTCTTCCCTCTCATGAAACGGGTTGTGTTTTTGACACCTTGTGGTATACCCTTGAAACGTTTTTGCTTTGGCTTTTGGGTCACACCGTCACAGTCATTTGCTTTTCGTGGTTTGTATTTTTCAGTGGTTGTTTTATGTATTGTCATTTCCCTTATCTTTTTAAGCTAGACTACCAGGCTACTGCAAGAACATAAGAAGATGGGATATTTACGTTGTCATCTGATTTTTGTGTTTTTTGTGTGTTTTTCGAGGTACTAGACCACCACAAACATATATAAATTGAACTCGACCATTGGGGCGTCCTACTACTTGATTGATTTCTGTGTTTTCACCTTCATTTGATGCATTAATGCTATGATAAAAAGGCTAGTGATGTTTGTGACACGTGAGGTGCTTCAATGAATTATTCAAAAAGGCTACTTTTCCATATTAATTGCAAATTAATATTTGTGCATTATTTATGTAGAGTTAGTATCAAGCTCCATTTTAAAGAATAATTCAAAAAATAGCCAATGAGGGTTGGTTGTACTGTTAAGAATCATTCTCTTAGTTATCAAGGCTTAGGTTGGAGTCCTGCTGCCGACAATCTCTTTTGGTGGGTAATTTGTAAAAACTAAAAAAAGGGCTAAGACTCTCTCTGTAAGTCCTCAAAGAGGTTTTGGTATGCCATGGCCCTGGGATGGGGTAGCATCCCCTCCCTCCTGAACTTTTGCTCATAAAAAATTAAAACAAAAAAACGAAAAATGTTACTTTTCCATATTAATTGCTGATTAATATTTGTGCAGTATCTATGTAGAGTTAGTATCAAAGTCGAATTTTGGTCATCGTTAGAGGCCATTGTCAATTTAGTTTAGGCCCTCAATGATCTCCTGCAAAGTTGCTTATCAACCTGGTAATTAACTAGAAACATTGTTTGCATCTGTTAGTACTAGTGCGAGAAGAGGGACAAATTATTGGTTGGTATTCGGGGTAAAAATCCATTTTCTCCGGCTTGATTATTTCTCTTTTAATTTGCAAAATAGCATATCTGAAAAGCAGGCGTGCCATAATGATGAAGTAAGGAAAAAATAAAATTATCTTTTGCAGTACTGACAGCAATAGCTCTTCCGCTTCATTTGTGTTAGCAATAACTTATCATTTTCATGGGGCCCAGTTTCAGTGATTTATGTTGGGCACTCAGTTTTGTGGTTAGTAGTAGATGACAAAAAGTTGCAGATCTCGTGCTTTTTCTGTATTGCATACGCTGCCAAAATGGAGCTTGTTTTATTCAATGCACTTATTTTTTTTCTTCTCTTTTTTGATACTATTTAAGTTGTCATGCTTATAAGTGCGAATAATATTTTTGTCAAGGACACAAAAGAAGTATACTTTCTGAAGGATGGAGGAAGGCTGGGGTAATAATAGTTTTGTCGGGAGTCTAGTCTAATGCTGGCATAAGATTTTACACGAAGGGTGTTTTGTATGTGTGAATAATGTTTAGATGCAAGGCTGCAGAGTTATTATTGATTTTTGTCATGTTTCTATACAGGAACACCAGAGAAAGCACACCATGCAGCTTCATAAGGGAGTCAAACACTATTGGAACCCCCGGTTCCACCACAAGGCGGACAAGTTCTGTTGCAACTCACCGGAGGGTTAGAAATGATATGCAAAGAAATATCCCAACGACACTGGAGATGGAGGAGTTCTTTGCCCAACACGAGCAGGAGCAACAGAGAATTTTCCTTGAGAAGTATGTTACATAAACTGCAGGACTAACTTTAACTGATTTTGATTTATGTTTTATTCTGTAGTGCAGATAGATTAGCAATGGTGGGCTACATGCACCCACGAATACCATGAAATCCTCTTATTTGTTTGTTGGATTTTCTCAGATACAACTTTGACATCACCAGTGATTTACCCCTTCCCGGAAGATATGAATGGGAGCAAGTGATTCCCTAAGCAGAGCCTCTATCATTCAGGTTCTGATACCAAGTCTTTCAGTTGTTTTCTTGTTGAGCATTCGAAGGAAGCACTGGGAATGAACGGGTGCAGCATCCTAAATAACCTTTTAAGCCCATATCAAGGGAACTGATATGAGCGTCATTTGATGATTAATAACAGAGCTATGAAAGTGGCCCTTAGAGTATAAAACCACATTCGTAGATCAAGAATGAAGGGATCGTTTGAGAAGAGATTGGGGAAAAGAGTGGATGGTCTTTCGCATGAATGTTTTATGTGGCTTGTGACTCTGTCGGTGTCATTTTTAAGGGGGGGTATATCTAATTGCTAGATTTTCACCTTTTCTTCTCTGAAATTAACCTTTGTCTATATTTAGGTAGTGATGACTCAAAGAACGCATGTGCTCTTTGGAAATAAATGTAACTCCTTTCTTTCTCGCATTCTATTGATGACTAAATTAAATTGATCATAACCCTGCACTTTTGGTATGGCCCTTGATGTTGATGTTTCCATCCAAGTAAGTGAATGAATCTTAAGTGACATAGCTTTCTGATTTGGTTGTTTCCTTGTTAGATATGTAAGATTGCTTTCTGCTTTTGCTTATTTTAACTTCTTGTATGGGGTGATCCGTGGAGCCAATTGGACTGGTTGGTTAAATTCAAACTAAGAATTTTTAATTGGTTCTCTTCTTTTTCTAATCTACAGAAAACAAATCATACATCCCTTGGTATTAAGTATACTGTTTAGCCAGCAAACAGTATGTCAATCAAGTGGGCATTTACTGAACTGAGCATGCATGAAACCATGAATGTGTATACCATAGAGAGTTGTGGGGATTGAGTTTTATTTAATTTTATTTATTTCTTCTTAAGTTCACATGGGGACATGGTACGGTTCTGCAGTGAATTCATCACAAGTAGAAGATTTTGTGATTTTGTGATTTTGTGAGGTTTTTGGCTGTTGCTATCCAGTCCAAATGGATGTGTGGTTTTTCGATTTTGCACCACTTTGTTTTGTACTTGAAAGAATATATGCCTCAGAGAGCAAGAAGGTGTTGCCACTTGCCAGTGAATTTGGCGGTATAGTAAAAGCTTGAAATCCACTTGCAAGGGTAGCCAAGTAGTAAAAGAGAAAAAGGTGAACTCAAGAACAATAATGCGGAGTCCTTAATAGCCATTCGATCAATTACAAAGCTATTATGGGCAATTGGATTGAACCCTCTCAATATAGAAGATCCAGAAAGATCTCTGTGTTTTTTTTTTGGACGAACCCGGAAGATCTATAGATAGTTGAATAATATCAAATCCGACCAATGCATGTGAATTATTTATCCATACATAACCCAAGCCAGCCCAGGTTGAGGCTCAATGCCATTTCAAACATTATATATCCTCATCAGATCCAAAAAGAACATTGCCTCTCTGACGTATCTTCAGAAGGTCTCCACAATTCTTAAAGGAATCAACCATTGGAAAGTCAAACAAAGACAGTGATGATTTTGCATGTAGTAAATAAAACTATGTTGAGGATTAGTTTCTAAACTCAGCCATTGGATCACATGTATGTGAATTATGTAACCCATTACTCATGGATGACTGAGATTAGAAATCTTTAACCAATCTCAATATAAAATCCTTACTGGAGAAGCTCTAATAAGAAAGCCGTTAAGAAACTACTATTTCGTCTGCGCAATTAAAAAAAGAAAAAGAAAATGAATGCATAAACGATTCTACATTTTTCCAATACGTTTCTGTTCAGTGGATCAGTCAGTCGACTAGCCAATACATTCCTACTCCTAAAAAGAAATGCATAAAGCTATGGAGTTGGAAGGGCGAAGCTTGCTCCCTGCTTTGCCTCTGACATTTCAACTTCATATGCAATGGAATTTGTAGACTTCTCATTCTCCACTGCCATTTCTTTCAGCCTCGCTAGTTGTATGGCACGCAGCTCGTATCTGATAATCAAATCAGGAAACCACGTTTAATGAGTGTGCGCATATTAAAATAATAACCAAGTTGCTAACAACGATAATTAAAAGAAAAGAAAAAAGTCCATACCAAAGATAGTTGTATGAGGAAGCAACTTTCATTATTCCAAAGCAGTCTTCTTATCACGTTAATTCTTGAATGAATTTTTTGTTAAGGAACAAACTCAGTCATGAATGTTTGTTGGGATAACTCATTATCATGTTGGCCAATATGCAGATACTAAACATAATCTAGAGGAACTTGTTCAAAAGAAGAACGACACATGTTTGGAGAAATATAGTCATGGACTCTTATGCATCTCTATTTCTAGCTTGTATCCGCAAATTGATGTTCTCTATCTTTCAAAAAGAAGACAGGAACATATTATGCTTTTTAAATTACCCTTTACATACACATCATCCTGTTGTCAACAAAAAACTTCCAAGATAGTCAAGATCCATTATAAGCCTTACGACGTCAGACTAAATCATGAGCTTGGTGCTATCTGATTCCCAACAAAGCAAATTTCGATACGTCAACTCAGTTTGCTTTTCTTTAGAAGATTCAAATGGTGGAGGTGCACAGCCTATGTGATTGACTAAGCCAACGCCAACTGGATGTAGAGTTTTCAATAGTGTTGAGATTAGTGGATAATATATGCTTGATTAATTTTCTAAACACTCTTTTCTGGCCTTATGATAGGAAGAGGATAAGAGTCTAGAGCTCCATCAGGAGCAATCTGTAGGTGACCAAACACTCGTGTAAAAATCAGATAGAAATTCATCACCTAGCCTCCAGTCCTGTCACTCATACAGAATACTATCTGACAGTAAACCATTTAGAAGAAAACTCCTAGATCCTCTCAACAACTAATCAATCATTCAGAACCGTGCTCTTATTAAATAACGCTGATGCAAAATACTTGAAAATCCAAAACGTATAAAATACTTACTCAGCCACTTGTTTCTTTACAAGCAGAAAGTATATTCTCCAAAATTGATGCTCCTTCAAGTATCCCGGGCATAGTTTATATCTCAGATGGGAAAGTTCCTGAAAAACAAGAAAGATCCGCAATTATGCTCGTAAGGGGTTGTATGATGCAGCTCCAAGTTATATAACTTATAAGCAATCTAGCTGTGGTGCCTGGAAAATCCATTTTTAGTGTCTAATTCAATTTCCTGAGCTCCTGGACTAAAACCAGTCCTTTTCGTACTAAAAACTTAATAAAATCAAAGGCACCAACCAATTAGAAAGTAATTTCAAATTGCTAGTTGCTAGAGAAAATTCCTCTAACGCCAGGGAGCAGGATTCTATAAGGGTAATTCTTGATATACAAAGTCACATGTTAAACCAACTTCAGAGCTATGAATTTGACATCAAATACAAGAATCTATAAAGACAAGCAAGAAGCTAGAATTCAACCTTCGCTTTTGAGAGCACAAGAGTGGCATGTTTTTCCTGCCATTCAGATAGATCTTTTTTAGCGTTGCTCGAAGTTGTCGGAGAATTGTCAGCTCCCTCATCATCTGCACAGTAATCAATTCAATGTACAACATTTAATTCCATCAACAAGAAAAGAAAGAACCCATTACAGTCCATTTATGCACACTGATGAACAGATTCAAATGTATGCAGAGAAACCCAGCTTAAGATTTTTATTATTTACCCAAAACCAAATGAACCCAAAAAAAACCCAATATCAAATTTAACCGAAACAAGCAAAAAATTCATAAAGCTCTTCCCTTTCGCATACCTGGGAGAGGGAAATTCTTGAAAGTGTCTAAATTGAAAGACTTGACATGGTCGATCAGTTCCTCTGTGACTCCCAGTTGCTGCTCTTCTTCACTTCGGGGCAGGAGAGTTCGCTCAGAGGGATCTGGGTTTTTGGTTTTTTCACTCTTCCTTAAGAGGCTGCGTCGGAACCACGAAGACAAATCCATTGGCGACAGAGTGCATGGTGAAAACAGAGAAATGAACGACTGAGTAGTGTTGTTGCGGTTCGTCTGATCTGCTACTTTCTGCCTTAAAGTAACAAGTTACAACTTGCTGCGGGCTGGCCAATGGTCAAATGGGTCAACGGCCCGATTACATATGACATGGATATGGGCTTGAATTGATTGAGACTATTAACGGGCTCTTAAAATAGAGATAAACAAGGATGGGCTTCTTCTTTGCATTTTTGGCCCTTTTCAAAATAAACTCTATCGTGTATATTTTTTGGATCAACTACTGGGTCCTTACAAAGTCATACATGAACTTTGAAGATCCTGCAATCTGATACTCAAATTTACGAAAGAGATCCTCCGTTACACAAACCATTAGTAGGTATGTTAAATTCTAATCTAACGTGGCAAACATGGGCCCTATTTTTTTTGCGTTGATGTGACAAACGTAAGTTCCATTTCCTCAATTTTCTTTAATGGTTTCTAAATATAACCGTTCAACAAGTAATCAAACTCTAACGGGTCGATAAAATTTTAACAATATAAATAAATAAACTTTAAAAGGTAAACGAAATTTGGCTACTTTTCATAATTTTCCTTTAAATTATGATGATGATGAGTTATGATTGATTTCGGAGTTGAGTTTGGATGGATCTACTCAAACAATGAACAACGAGTTGTGATTATTAGGTCAATCAAATTGAGATTTGAATTGAAAGGTTGGTATGAACTCCCAATCTAAACTTATCTTGATGTCGATCGGGATCGATTGAAAATTGTTGAGACTCAAGCTCAAGGTGAACTCTATTTTATCAAAAGGTGTAGCCCCCGTCTAAGTCTCAACCCGCCCAAGGTGCACGACTAGCTAAAAAACGTGGTCCCCAATAATTGAGAGATGGGAAGCATCGAAACTTGATAGAGCTTGGGATGCAACTTTGAATTATTTTTTTATGATCAAACAAAAAATCAATAATCAAAGAGGTTAGTGTCATGTCTCGGTGGTGTCCAATTCAGTGAAAGGTGCATGTCCTTCATAAGTATCTACACTATTATTTAAGAGAAGAGACTTTGCTAACTTTCGTTCATAATACCTATTTATCGTTATTTATACCAGCATTGCTTTTGATAAAAGAGAAAGAAAGACGTGGAAGGGTTCTAACCCAGTGACGAATTCAGGATTGTTAATTCATGGGGTCATAGTGTAAAAATATAAAAATAGTATTTCATTCATAATTCATGGCAAAAGAAAAAGATTAGATAGCTATTCGATAAATTGTGCATGACTTCTCAAAGTTAAAAATTACTAAACAAATTAAATAATAAAAAAACTAAAAATAAAAATAAAAACAACCCACCCCACTCTTCCCCAACCATCCCCATAACGCAGTCCCTCCCTTTTCGTCACCCAGCACAGATCTTCAGATGGCCTCACAAAGAGGTTGAATTCTAAAAGATTTGGTCCATTAGATCCCAACAAAAACCCTTATCCTTCTCTGAACTTTCGTCGAGCAGTTGGTGGGCAACTCTAAGGGGTTGCACCACTAGCAAACGACGACTTTGAAGCCCATTTCCATTACTGCCATTGGGTTGTTTGACCCCATTGACCTCATGGTGGCTCCGCCACTAGTCTAGCCTAGTGGAAACAATATATTGAATTGCAAATCAGTAATTTCAAATTCGAACCCCTATAACACATTGGTAGTGTGTATGTAAGAAACTCGTTCTCCTCTAATATTAACTGTCATGCTCGCGTGTATAGATAGAATGAGTGAGGATTTAAAGTATTATATAGTGAGATGATGCATTATGCATAGTCAGAACACGAAAATTGTAACTAACTGATTAATGTAGGAGGATGCCTTTATTATATGTTTATGTCGCATATCACTAATTACTTGGTAAAAAACACTTCGCGTGCAAAAGTACTAATGATGCAACTGTCTTTTCCTCGCCATCACACCAACAGATGCACGCCTTCAGTCCTCAATATTCTTCACCCTTTTTATCCATGGACTGTATCCCAGTATGGCACAAATTATTGAGGGAATACTTCTGCAAAACATAAGCATCTGCATATATATATATATGGTCAGAATCAAAGTAACGCCTCAACATTTTAAATCGACTAAGCTAAATCAAATAAAACAGCTTAGCTCAATTTTAATACTAACAAAGCATAATCTCGAATCGAACTCGATATTTTCAGAGTTGATGCTAAATTAAGAAAATACGAGTTGTCATTTGACACAACACAAGATTTTTGTTTCTACGTCAAAAAGGCATTCAAACCTTAGAATGCACTCATTAAAAATCGACCACCAATCCTTAACTTTAGGATCCTGCTCTCCATGGTCATGAAGCTTATTTATGCTTGTGTCAAACAATGCATGTCACGCATGGTTTAATGACTTTGACTAAAACCAAAGTTTTTATTTTTATTTTTGTTCGCATCTACAACGAAGGGATGGTGGTGGTAGTGGAAGATATGATATCAAATCAAATGATATATATCATACCAAATGTAATAATCTGTGGTCGGAAGCCACTTGCCTTACATTGAAAACCCCTAACATATTTGGCCCACCGCAGGTGGTGGGTAATTATCATAAATCATAGAATTATCAAAAGTGGCCACACCACACCTCACTCCCTCCCTATCCAAATTTTGATCATTGTTTGTTCCTTTTCTCTTTTTGACCTTTTCTTTGTTTGCTCTTCCTCACGTGGACGGTGCAAAATTTTTCCAAAAGGTGAATGCCTCATTTTACTTTCCACCGTTAAGTTGCTCGTTTTAGTCGTTTTAGTTTCTCTTTGTTAACAGTTCAGGTTGAGCCATCAAATCAGATCTAAATGCTTTTTGAATCTAGTTGTATTTGTCTAACAAGACAATGAAATTAAACTTGTGCATGTATTTAGCCTTTTAAGGTAGTCCTTGCTGATTCACACGGGATTTCATGATCACATAGTGAAATCAACCTTATGCATGAGTTTTTATTATTGAAGCGAGGATAATTTTTCATTCGATAAGAAAAGAACAATACTATATAGAAGAAAATATTCATAACATAGTGGTTAATTGTAAAAAAATTATAAGTAGTAAAAGGGTATAAACTTCTAAGTATATGCAATTTGCAAATATTCGTAAGTCAAATGTGTTTAGTAAATTGAAGTGTTTTTGCATGATTTAGAATTGAAATATATGATGTTTAAGTCCGTAACTCATCTTTCTACAATTCACCATTTTACCACTATCGGCGGAGGTGGAGGAATCTTTCACTTTTTATTATTATCGTTTTTACAGACTTTTACAGGGGACAAAAAGTAAAGTAAAATATGTCAAAGTTGTCAAACTAAACTGCTTTTTTTCTTTCCCGCTTTTTTGCCTGTTCGTGATGAGAGGTTTTGACTCTATTTGTGAACAAAGTTACAAACCCCTGCTTTCTGTGCTCCTCTTTCACTTGCTACACTACAATATTTATAACAGAGAACAACAGCACAACCTT